TAGAGGTAACCAAGATGAAACTAAACCCAGCCAAATGCACGTTTGGAGTGGAAGAAGGGCAATTCTTGGGTTATTATGTTACCAGACAAGGTGTCCAGCCCAGCCCGACCAAGTTCGACAAGATCATCGAGACGCCAACCCCAAACTCTCTTAGAGATGCACAAGGTCTGAATGGGAAGCTCACGACGCTAAGTAGGTTCATCTCAAAATCTGCCAACAAGGCTATGCCACTGTTCCACACCTTAAAGGGATGCATCGAAAAAAACAATTTCCAATGGACGAATGAGGCAGAGAAGGCGCTCCAGAGAATCAAGGAGGCACTGCACAAGCTGCCGACCCTGGCAACTCCCATCCCGGGAGAAACATTACAAGTGTATCTATCGACGTCAGGTGAAGCGATATCATCGGTATTGGCTGTGGAAAGGGAAGGAGAGCAGAGACCAATATACTTTGTTAGCAGAGCACTGCAAGGACCAGAGCTCAACTATCCCACGCTAGAAAAACTGGTGCTAGCACTCATCTACGCTGCGAGACGATTAAGGCGATACTTCCAGGCACATCAAATCGAGGTACTCACAAGCTACCCTATTAAACAGATCTTGCTTAAGTCGGAGACGTCGGTCGGCTGGCCAAGTGGGCAATTGAGCTGGGAGAGCATGACATAAACTACCGCCCAAGAACAAGTATCAAAGGGCAGGCATTGGCCGATTTCTTACTAGAAATTACTGACGAAGGGAATTCGGCGAAAAAAAGGTGTGGGTAGTTGAAGAGGCCCCTACCATTGATGGTTCATGGACCCTGTACACGGACGGAGCGTCTAGCAGGGAGGGATCAGGGGGCGGGTCTGATCCTGACTAGCCCAGAAGGAGAAGAGGTAACCTACGCCCTCCGTTTTGACTTCCATACATCGAACAACGAGGCGGAATACGAGGCGCTGCTCGCAGGGCTGCGACTCGCCAAACAAATGGGTACGAAAGCTGTAATAGCGCTAACCGACTCAAGGTTAGCAGCGAACCAAGTAAATGGGAGTTTTGAGGTAAGAGACCAAGGAATGGGAAGGTATGTAAAGATGGTAAAGCAACTGATAGAATCATTCAGCCAATTCACAATCATGCAAATACCCAGAAGTGAGAATAAGAGGGCAGACGCGTTGAGCAAGCTAGCGTCCACTTGTTTCGACCACCTGTCAAAGAAAGTTTTAGCAGAGGTGCTTCGGGGGAGAAGCATTGATGAACAGCAGGTGAACGTCTTGACCCCCGCAGGACCCACATGGATGACGCCGTTCCGGGAATATCTCCAGAGAGGGGTGTTCCCGGACGACCATGATGAAGCCAGAAAAATACGTATAAAGGCGCCCTCATACGCAATGGTAAATGGGGAGTTGTACAAGAAGGGGTTCGCATCTCCATGGCTAAAATGTTTAGATCAAGCCAAGGGAAGAGAGACACTGCATGAAGCACATTCAGGTCAGGTAGGCGCACACGAGGGAGCAAGGGCTTTGACAGGAAAGGTGCTACAAATGGGGGTATACTGGCTAACGATACATCAAGATGCAGTAGAAGTAACCAAGAAATGTGGGGAGTGTCAATCTTACGCCCCAGTCCAGGCGGAACCCCCGGCGCCGCTAAGCAAAATATCCAGCCCATGGCCTTTCTACCAATGGGGCATTGACATAGTGGGTCCATTCCCAGAGGCACCAGGGAAGCTGAAATATATGGTGGTAGCTATGGATTACTTCACAAAGTGGATTGAAGCTGAGCCATTGGCATGCATATCTGGGAGGCACATGATAAAATTTGTTTGGAAAAACATCATGACAAGATTTGGAACATCTAAGGTTCTCATCAGTGACAATGGTTTGCAATTCGCTGAGAACCCATTCAGAGAATGGTGCGCTGCCAAATGGATAAGCCAACGCTTCACATCGGTGGCACACCCCCAAGCGAACGGTCAAACAGAGGTGTCCAACCGAACCATCGTCAATGGGATCAAAAAGAGGTTGGGCAAAGCAAAAGGGAATTGGGCAGAGGAGATACCAATAGTGCTATGGTCATACAGGACTACACCACGGAAAATCACAAGGGAAACCCCTTTCAGCTTGACATATGGGACTGAAGCCATGCTTCCCATGGAAGTGGCAATGAATACGCTAAGGGTGGCCAACCAAGATGAGGAAAGCAATGTACAAGGCCTGAGGATAAACTTAGACATCCTAGAGGAGAAGCACGAAGAGTCGGGAGTACGCCAAGCTACATATAAGCACGCAACAGAAAGATATTACAACCAAAGGGTAAAAGAGAAGGCCTTCAAAGTGGGCGAGTATGTTTTGAGGAAAAATGAGGCCAGTCGGGCACAACCCCAGGGAAAGCTAGGCCCAACATGGGAAGGCCCATACAGTGTCACAGAGGCAAACAGGAACGAGGCATATGTATTAGAGACGATGGAAGGAAGACCCATTCCAAGAACATGGAATGCTAGGAACTTAAAGAAATATTTCTTCTAAGGAAGAGGAAAGATGAAACCCTAGTTGGTTGATATCCCATTAGAGATGTTGCATCTTAGAGGTACTTAGAGTACACTTATCCATGCTAAGTGACATGAGAATTGATACTCAGTGTATTCCTATATTTAAAGGCATGAGTTTAGTACTCGACATATATAAAATTTCATGCATGAGCGGCATGAGCTTAATACTCAGTGTATTTCTATTTTTTTTTTTAAAAAAAACCCGCGGTTAAATAGTAATGCAATTGCTGATTTCTCATACTTAGTGTAATGATATCCAACGGTTAAATGATGAGTGCTAAGCGCACTCAATATGAACACTTAGCGTGTCAATAATAGCAAACAAAGCAAAATATTTGGCACATCTTGAGCAATAGATAATAAACGAATAAGCCAAACGCAAAACACAAAAGGAGATAATAGATAATGCTTAACGCATACGCAAAAAAAAAACATTGTTCTGGATAATCCAACCATTGAAAAGCAAAGCACATAGATCAAATAAAACAAGGAAATATTACGGCTTCGAACCATCACCAACAAACTTATCACCAACCACAACATCATCCGCAATCGCTTTCCCAGCCAACCCATCAGAAACTTCCCTATCATCTGCCACCTCATCAACACCGCCACCTCTAGCACCTACCCGACCATCACCACTAGCACCACAATCCTTACCATTTCCTCCCACACCAATGTCATTCACAAGCACCATTTCACGACTCGCAGCATCCTCAGGAGTGCCCTCTGAACCAAAAGAGCACAACTCTCGCAAACCATCAATACCCATCTCTCCCAGACCCAACAGACCTGCGTGATCCATACTGGCAAAAGATAAGAGAGCATCACTCACGCTAACCACAGGTCCGACAGACAATGAACTAGCACTCGCCTCCCCACTTTCACCGCCACTTAAAGCTTTCTAGGTATATTCAACCCCGGCTACATATGCAGCATGGAGAATAAGACTGATAGCATTGGTAAAGTCAGGATGCTCTATCAGCTTATCAACGATACGCACAACACCAATTTGCAGCAGCCAATCCAAGTCTCGATGGACAGCGCACACATCTGCTTGCAGCGATGACACAAGCTTGTCACGGTCAACGACGTCACGCTCGAGACTTTCAACCTGGATCATTAAGCCTTCATTCGTTTGGGTGAGAGAATCAACCTTGGCCTCTAATGCATCCCTAGCCTCATCAAGAACATTCTTCTCAGACGCCAATAGTTCACATTTCTTTTCGGAAGAGCAAAGATCATCACCAAGCTCATTTAGACGGCGCTCCAAGCTTGCCAAACGCGATCCACAGGTGGCATGTGAAGCCTCCACCTCACCCAGGGTGTGGATACGCCGAGAACCTGCAACAAGATAAAACATCGCCTGTGCAGCAGTATAAGCCATATTGGAAGCAAGGGCAGGATTACCCATCGCTCCCATATCCTCAACAGCAGCCGGGGGGAAGGCATGACGTGAGAATTCCAGAGCGTTGGCAGAGAACCATCATGAAGATTCCAAGATGGCACAAAGACTGTAGGCTCAGAAACATCGCCACCAGGTCCACTGTCACTGGAAGCCGTAACCGGCCCAGGAGGGCCGAATTCCTTCGCTGAGGAAAGCTTGGATGGAGCACACAAAATAGTTGGAGAAGGAACAGAAGAGAAATCCGGAATAACGGGTTGTTCAGTCGCCCTATTGACCCCCTCAGACTGTTGCACGTCATCATCGGGAATCACCACCACGCCAACAGAGGTGGAGTTTACTGGCGCGGAACTCATTGAACTCAGCAGGCGAGAAAAGTTGCGCCTAGTATGCACCCTCTTGGGGGCGGGAGGAGCGCCAGTCACCGGCTCAGCCATCGTCTGCATAGCCTTCCGTTTCGCCTGCAACCGCCGAACGTCAGCAATAACACCCTCTTTGTTGTCCTCACAGTCCTCCGGGGAAGAGGAAGAAACGCCGCCCGTTGGCATAACAGAGGAAATTGGGCGGGCAAACAACTAATCTCCCCCAAGCACCGACAAGCCAGCTGGAGGGACTGAAGGAGTAGGAGTGTTGGGACGATCTGCCCGACGAGGAGGGGGAAGATGCTCGAACAGATCCACCTCACAAAACTCCAGTTTGCCTCGATAGCGTTTACGCAATACCTCATCCATGGATAAGGAAGACTCAACACCTAAAGAAAAACAGAACGAAATACAAGTCACAAAGGGGCGGCTAAAAGAAACACCAAAAAAAAAGGAATAAAAAGAGAGAGAGGGCGAATGCGACACTCACCGTCAATGACGGAGTAGAACACCGCCATCTTGCCATGCCGCCTCTAGGAGGGGCTCATCCCTACCCCGGACAGGATCGCTTCGGAATAATCTTCAGCGGTTACTTGCACACTTTTCAGGTAATCGGCCACTTCCTGATTGTGAGGAAAGAGCTTGGGGACAGTATCGGCGAAAGTGTTTGCACGGTAAGGACCACTCCCAACCAATTCCTGGTTCACCTACAACCACTTGTCTTGCCAGTTCTTGGGGGTACGCCCATCAAGAACTAAGGTATGCCCCCCTCGCGGGGCCAAAAAAGTGCACTTGTCGCCGGTAAGGCAGAACCGAAAGAAGAACTTGAAAACGAAATAGTCAAGAACATACCCATTGGCCCTACAGATCATCTCGAAGGCAACCACTTTGTTAACAACGTTAGGGGTCAACATCTGAAGACTACATCCGTCCTTCTGAAGAACCTCCTCTTGGAAATCTGTCAGAGGTAATCGTATGCCAGCATTCAAGGTTTTTAGGAAAACCCCAATTTTTCCAGAGGGGGGGAGGGGAGAAGAGATGCTAGAGCCAGCAGAGGGAAATTCCACACCTTCTAAGGAGGATAAGCCATACATGACTTCCAATTTTCGGTACTCTGCAGAAGAAGGGATGATTCTAGGGAGATTAGCCATAAAGAGGAAAAAGAATGAACACGACGAGAAAAGAAGAACAGAGGAGGCAAAAGAAACTGTGTGAACACCCTCTTAAAGAAGAAGAAGAGGCGGGACATTTAAATGACTGATGTGATGATGTAACTGCCAACAGTCACGTCACCATTAAAAATGGAGCGACGGATAAAGAAAAACGAGCACACGTCATTCAGTTAAGCCTAGAACGCCGTAACTAGCGCTGCAACACTACGGCTACTAGACTGGGGGACTTGATGGCGTGCCTAGGGCAGCACATCAGAGTTGCATCCAAGCCCCTAGAGCCGAACACACCAGCCAAATCCGGCCCAGCAGGCTCAGCGCCCGCTGGCGCCCCCCAGGAGTGGAACGCCCAGGCGAAAGGCTCGCGCCCGCTAAGTCATCGCTCTTCGTTCCAAGACAAAGTACAACCAGGAGACAAGCAGTGGGATCAGAGAATTATCATCAAAGCCAATGAGAACGCTCTGATAGTGGAAGGCGCATGACCCTCCAATCAGCCCCTCTGATCCTGTCTCCCCAAAAAGCGATCATGTCTGGTACGGACCAGGCAGGAGCGCTAGGTATAAAAGGACGCATTCTCATACTAGCGAGGTAAGCTCCTAAACCGATCTAAAGAGAACGAAAACAAACCCTAGAGCCATCCTAACTTGATCGTCAGAGCGTTCTCCCGGGAACTCCTCCCGGGAAGCGGTTGACGGCCCTTGTTCTTTGTGACCTTGCAGATACACCCAGGCAACCAAGAAAGTTCCACTCTAGGATAAGAAGCGGGGTCTTACCAGGAGCAAGGTTCCATCACTAGTAAAAACCATCTGTTAGAACTCAACACTCAATTTTACATAATATTTCACAATTTTATTCATTACAAAACACGATTTCAAAATGTGTATGTTACAAAATTCCATTAGATCACGTTACACTGCCCGTGTAACGTATGCCTTGCAATTACACGGCCGTTTAACGATCCTGATGTGTTGAAAAGCTTCCAAAACATGGCCACGTAACGTATGCCTTGTCATATCGCGGGCCGTGTAATGAACTGTAAGATAGCCAATTTCCAATTTTCTTCATTTCTTCAATTTGGCTCCGAAAGTTCCGAAATTTCACCGAGAGCTTCCCTTGACCATCATAAGCATGCTTCAATCTTCAAATCACCCTGAAATATCCACAAAAAATTGTGAAATATCGATAGATCCTCGATTATGTCCCTAAATGCAAAATGTATGAAAATTATACTAAAAATGTAATGCAATGCTATAAATAAACATGGAATTTATCCTATGAAAAGGTGCAATTTATGCACCTAACAACATCCAATGAGATGCACGTTTTCCTTGGGCACCTCCACGTCATGACACACATATGCTCACGTCATGGCCAAATATTTCATCCTTTAAGACTTAAATTGACAAACTCAAAAGTGATGCTTACTTGGAGTTTGGTGTTACAATATTAAATGTATACCATGGATCTCTATTGTTGATGGGTTGGGGTTCTACCATGTGGTGACTTATTTTGTTGGCTTTAAGCCCATTTCAAGCTCATAGCAGTAATTTCAAAATCAACCCTCCCCTTAACAACTTTTTTTTTTTCATTTTTATTTCATTTATTTATTTATTTGTTATATTTATTTTTCAGAATATCCAAGGGCCTTCTCATTAATTTAGTTATCATCATACAACGAGTGAGATGACAAACGGGCAACAAGGTGTGCCGCTAAGCCTTTTTGTATGACAAAGCTAATTCTTTTAAAGACTACATCCATAGATCTAGGGGATATAACATTGTTATGCATGATCGATTGTACTCTATTAAGAAGCTCTACCGCATCCAGCGCTAGGAAACCAAACGTATTAAATGAAAATGGTATGAACACATGTTGATTTTCCATGCATGATTTCTCATCTTTGGTGACTTTGCCTGTTGTAGATTTTAAAGTCGCATGTCCCGCCGTGAAACCCCCAACCCTAAAGCCCACAAGAGGTGATACCCTGTAAGCACCAATCATATATGTATTTGAGCATTTTTGGAATAACTTAATATTATGAACCTTGAGGACATGAACACCGCTTCCAGTTATATGAATTATTTATATGTTTAAATAGGTACATATTTTCATTATTATTTGATGATTTTATTTTGTTGCATTTGACATTCAACATCAACAAACTTAGGTCAACTTTGGCATCTATATGATCGATTCATATACATGGATAGACCTATCATGACTTTTGATGCTTATCTCATCCCTCGATAACCTCAAAGCATAAAAAAACATCAATGTCCTCTTATATTAGACCATCTTGTATACTTCTCACCCCAAAGAGCATGCAAGCTTCCAAGTCTACAAAAACATCACCACAAACTATCACATGTAGTGTCAGTATACATAGCATAGTGAAAAAGAGAGAAGATAATGGTTTAGAGGAGAGGAAAAGAAACATGATTGGTTTTTCTCAATTGTTGTGGCGACCACACGCACGCACAAATAAATATTTAACCCAATGTTTTAAAAATTGGTTCGAACCAGCAGTTGAACTAGTCAGATTGAGAACCGAGGACGAGAGCGGTTTAACAATGACTAATTTAATGTTAATTTATAAACCGGATCGAATCTGAAAGTTTTATAAAAAAAAAAACAGTTTGAACTGGTGTTATAGAACCGATAAAAATAAATGTTTGAACCGTTTTATTGAACTTGAATAGTTAAATTTAACTCGGCCCAATAAATTAACCGATGAGATAATCGTTAATGTACACAACTCCAAAACCGACACAAATGATGGCAAATATAAATCAATAGTCGAACTAATTAAACCAAAAAACTACTTTAGTACCGGTTTAACTAAAAACAATTTTAAAGCATTGCTTAAACTCACATTATAAAATTTCATTGTCCATCCGTCTAAAAAAATCATACCCATTAATTTTAGTTTTTTCTCGGATCTTCTGGCCGGTTTGTATTCGGACCTTCCATAATAACCAAGCCTTCAGGTTACCACGGCGGGGCTACCGCCGCTACCAGAGGCGTATGATGACCTCTCTAGTCCGCAGAGCGGCGTCAAGCCTCCGTTCCAACTCCGGAAAACGTCACTTTTTTGCACATGCGACGCATCGCATGGAGGAGACTGGTTTATATGGATGCAATCTTCTGAAAACCCCCAAGGGCTTTCAGCGTTTTGTAGATGAAGCCATTGAAAGGTAAAAGTAGAGTGAATTCAATAGCTTCTCATCACTTAAAATGCTGTAAACGTAATGAATTTTACAAAAATACACAATGAATTACGATTATGCAAGATATTGTATGTTATTTTTTGTTTCTGTTTTCCTTGACAGGTCTAATGAACTTGTTGGCTACATTTCTCGAATGCCTTCATCTGCTGAAATTATTAACGCCATGGATGAAATATCAAACACCGTAAGGATTTTGAGAATTTTCATGTCCTTCGCATATTCCAGAAAGCTAATGTTCGAACGTTTCAGGTATGCCAAGTGGTGGATTCTGCAGAACTTTGCAGACACACACATCCTGACAGGTTTTTTTTCCTTTCCATTAATCTGACTACATGTTGGATTCGTTGTTTTTTCTCTTTGCTCTTGATGATATCTGAGTTATACTACAGGGATTTTGTTGATGAGGCAATGAAGGCATCAATGAGGATTAACGAATATCTACATGTGAGGTGACAAGTTACATAATTGGTTTAGCTCGATTTACAAGATCATAACTTTATTTCAATTCTATTTGATGTCATATCATTCAAATTACTGACCACTTGCAATGATGATTATGGTGTTCATGATCATTGGCACACAGTATCTAAATACAAATCTTACTCTATACAATGCGGTGCTGAAAGCTGATCAAGATCAGACTCTAACAAGCAATGAAGCTAAAAGAGTTGCACATGATCTTCGCATTGATTTTGAAAAGGGTGGAATTCATCTATCTGCAGGTTATTTTCTTCACTATTTTGTATAAGTACTACTATTCTTAGTAAGTGTATTCTCTAACTACATATTGATATATGACTCAACTTCACAGAAAAGAAAGATCGAGTGAGTCAACTCAATATTGAAATCGCCAGATGCTGTGCACAGTTAGTAAATGTGATTTATATGATTATATACCTTTATATTCTAATGAACCACATATAATTTTTTGTCAGGTATAATGAAAATATAGCCAAGGATCCAGGTCATGTGGATATATATCCAGCATCACGTATACCAAAGAACTTACACCATCTTGGTAAGCCTGTTAATCGGTCAACTTCACCAGGTCAAAAAGTCAACATCAGAGAAAAAGGATTCCGAATAGTAACAGAACCAAGCACTGTGTCAGCTGTTTTGCAATGGGCATATGATGATGAGGTTCAATATTACTACTCTCTACTTTCAAATCAAAATGTCATGGTTGGCTATTTTTATGTAACAGTTTTGTTTTTCATTTTTATATATTTATTTTTCATTCAGGTTAGGAAAATGACATATATTAAAAGTAATTCCGTGCCACGCGCAAATCTTGGAGTTCTTGATAACCTAATTGCTGCACGTCATGAAATTTCTCAGGTTGTTATGGTTACTTGTGTTTTTTAGGATAGTTTTTTTCATTTGTATATTTAATATGTGTATTAAATGTTTTTAATTTTGTTTCTTATGTATACATGCAGATAATGGGGTATAAATCATATGCTGAATATGCTATGAATTCAAATATGGCTTCATCTCCAGATGTTGTATCTTCTTTTTTAGTTGAGCTTAGTAAAACTGTACAGCCGAAAGCAGTTGAGGTAATATCTTCTAGAATGTTCTTTTAATACATCATCATTTTGTCCGACATTTGATACTTTCTAATTTTTGGTTGGATATCATAGGAGTTTGAGTCAATTTGTAACTTCAAAAGAGAAAAATATGGTCAACAAGATATAGGATTAGAGCCATGGGATGAAGCATATTTTACACGGTCAATGAAATCAGCTGCTTAC